AGAGACTGCTCTACTCTTTGAAGCATCTGCCGAGTGATTTGACTAAATGCCATTTCGATCCGCTGCCTCATTTCTTCTGCGCTTTCACAGGACTCCGCATAAACAATATTTTTTATATGATCCCATAAAAAAAATCGAGCGGTGTCAAGTCTGGGGTCCGCGCTGGCCAGGGTACAGGACCTCCCCGCCCAATCCACTGCGGGAAACGGTCGTTCAGATGGGAACGTACATTTCGAGCAAAATGTGCGGGTGGTTCATCGTGCTGGAAAGTCATCCTGTGTTCCATCACGAGTCTCACGTATTGTGTCACTGGCAGGGCCATCAGAAAGTCATCCAAGTCTTCTGTTAGGAATCTTAAATAATTGGCCCCATTCAAACTTGCCGGCAAAAACACTGGACCGATGACGGCACAACCTATTATACCGGCACACACGTTAATCCGCCACTGGTGTTAAAAATTTGATTCCCTTGATACGCGGGGATTCAAATGAGTCCAAAAATGTTCATTATGCATATTGATAATGCCCGCACGCGTAAATGACGCCTCGTCTGTCCACAGTACCGACGAAGCGAAGTCGGGAGACCTCCCAATCTGGTCGCGGTCGTAAACGTAACGGAACGTGGATCATAAGTCCGCTTGTAACAGCTCCTGCGTTCTTTGAAAATGGTATGGGTGCTGGCCATCATCCCGTAGCACACGCCACACACTCATATGGTTCACACCACCAAAGGCTGCCGCAGCACGACGAGTACTTGTCTTTGGATTGCCGAGAAAATGTTCCAAAACATCTGCCTCGAATTCTGGATCTCGTGAACTCGGCCGGCCTTCAGAACTGGAACCACGGAACGATCCACTATTATGAAGTCTCATAACCATCTTCCTGAAGCATTCCAGAGTAGGAAATGGTCGACGTCGATTTTCTGGGACGCCATCAATAAACTTTGCCCAATAAATTTGGCGAGGCTGGCGCAAGCTCCCATCGGCTGCGCCTACGCACAACATCATCATCATCTCATAGTAATCACTATTGCTTAAGCGTGACATAGTTTAAATAAACACAAAAACGAGACACAAACAAAACGATGACACCTATTTAGTCCTCACAACGCAAACGGCAATTACAGACTGTTACAAAAAATTGAAAAATAGCGTCTCTGCCTCAGCGGCGGCACATCAAAGGACGCCGACTGAAACGCAAATTTTGGAATATAGGGTAACGTTTTCATAATGTACATACAGGACGAAATTAAAATTATTACCATCCTTTTAAAATAAAACCCTTCTCATGATACAAATTACACCATTACACACACATTAATCGAATACCTATATCCTACGTATCTACGACCTTCAACGTTGCACTGCATACGCCTTTGTTTGTAAACATAACTCTGACCATCACCCGTACCACTTCCACACAACGCAAGAACTGACTGGGTGATTACGGATATACTGCACTAAGGAGGCAGTCACCCATCGGAAACCCACGACGTCCGAAACGAAAGCCTAACACACTAACCACTACACCATGGAGGCAGTCGACTATAGGAATCAAATCCACGACCTCCGAAACGAAAGCCTAACACTCTAACCACTACACCATGGAGGCAATCGACTATAGGAATCAAATCCACGACCTCCGAAAACAAAGCCTAACACTAACCACTACACCATGGAGGCAGTCGACTATGGGAATCAAATCCACGACCGCCGAAACGAAAGCCTAACACTCTAACCACTACACCATAGAGGCAGTCGACTATGGGAATCAAATCCACGACTTCCGAAAAGAAAGCCTAACGCTCTAACCACTAGACTATGGAGGCAGTCGACTATGGGAATCAAATCTACGACATCCAAAAAGAAAACCTAACGCTCTAACAACTACACCATAGAGCCAGTCAACTATGAGAATCGAATCCACGACCTCCGAAACGAGTCTAACATTAACCACTACTCCACATCACGATGTATAAAATCAAATGCTGGCGGCGAAAATCAAAGGTGATATTTTTGCCGCTAAAGTTGCCGCCAAAGGCTTGCAACTTCGCTACGATTACGTATCGCGTACGCAAGGCGACTAATCTTGATACTTTGTTTATTTAGGTAAGATTTTTTATGGTTTTACACTATTGCTAATTTAAACTCTTCTAAAATATTTCTTTAGATGAGTAGATATTATTAGGAAGTAAGAACCTTAATAGGTTCAACGGATGTTAATTATTTTTAATTTCGCCATGTAATAAACCCATACACAGAAAGTTGTCGTGTGTAGATAAGTCAAATTAAGCGTAAACCTGTTGTTAGAAACGTGTGCTCAGCAATAGACGTATGTAAGTTAGTAAAGTACTATTTTTTGCACAATGTTTAGTCCACTACACTTGCATAGTAAGTACTAGTTGGAGACTTGACATTTTCGCATCTTTGAAGATTTCGGCAATTATCTCCGAAATCCAAGTTTTCTCACGATATTTTCATTTCCAAGCAAGTGATGAAAATTATAATAATTAATTCGTGGTCAACGATCAAAACTAATTTCTTGACGTTTGCCGACCTTCAGGTTGCACCTTTACGATGAAAGTGTCCCAATACAAAATTTCAACTTTTTGGGAATACGCAAAATAAGATTCAAGTTGTGACATTTTCATATTATTTTATTTATTACTCTTGAAGTACTAAAGGTGATGGCCTTATTAGTCTTTGAAAATAATGAGGAAAAATGGAACTTTACAACTGAAAATTGTTTCTGATCATTTTAATGTTCAACAATTTAAAAACATAATTTACAAAAACTAGTCGCCAATAGGTCTTTTTTTAACGATTTTTTGTTATCATTTAACGTATTAAGAATTAAGTCTTTTTAATGTTCATCAGCTAAGCAAGATGTCATAACCCTTGATATTGTTTTGTGATCCCTATTTCACAATTAAAAAAGAAGAAAGTCCACGAAACAAAAAAGTCAGTCCCTTTAAAAAGTAAGTTAATAAAAAAAAATATTTTTTTTTAAATATTAAGCGACGGGTCGAACAAATCGTGTACCCGGTGGATAGCATCACGCATGTCCATAACAGTAGCACTGCCGCTCGAAGGTTACTGTTACGGCGTCCATCTCTCTGATTGACATAGTTGACAAGTCCCATGTGCCTGTAATTTCACCAGCACCCTTATACCCTTCAAAACTGTAACACGGTAAAGTGGCAGTACTACCCTGGACGAACTCACAAGGAGCTCTACTGTTACTAGTGATTGTTGAATATGATTTTCGGAACGAAAATGGCTCAAATGCTAATCCGTCAGTGGCAGCGTGTTGTCTTTGCAAATGCAGATTCAACAATAAATGCGGCGTTAATATCTCGACGCGGGAGTAGAATTTTTAAACTGAAAGAACAAAATTAAAGGGACCTTTATGAATCAGTGCTATTCGAGCTTTCATTGCACAATTTCATCTTCACCACAGTGTGACTAATGTAACATAATATTTTTTTAAGATGGTTTTACGGTATAAACTCATTTTTAAATTTTTTGATTTGGGTCACTTTCATTGTAAGGGTGCGAAGTATTAGTCGGATGATTGCGTCATATTGCGTCATGCGTTAGAAGAAACATACCGACTGATTCGCTAGCCGCCATGCGTCAGAACAGTACCGGCGGATAGAAAGAGACAAATTTCATTCATTAAAATACAATAGATGAATGCGTATTATTACATATGATATGGTAAAAAGAAAAGAGATAACTTTAAATATGTGTTTTTTAGAGGACATTACTTTTATTAATGGATATTAAATGGTATAATAAAAAATGGTAAAATGGTAAAATGGTAAAAAAATGGTAAAATGGTAAAATGGTAAAATAAAAATTTGTGTATTTTGTATGTTTGAAGATATGAAGTTAACGAAACCATATTACGTTATTATGTACTAAGTTTTAAATAATAGTTTTATTATGAAGTAGTGTATTTTGGCAAAGTAATCGATAATATTTATTTTTCATTAAATGTTCACACGCATATTACATTAATAAAATAATAATAAATTTAGTAAATTATAACATAGTAACAAGAATATGGCATTAAGTACTTTATCATTTACAATAACATGCCTGAATTTCACAATTTTTTCAAGTTACGTAATTTGGTTGTATTATGATACTTAATAGAGATGTGATGTGACTATTTATTTTCGTTAAATGACATCAGCTGATCGAAACTGTTCATGGCGAAATTTCCATAAATAACGTAGTGTGCACTAAAACAACTCTGCTAACTAGTTTCATACCATTAACTGAATCCGACCTTCAAATATGACCACACCATTCTGTTACACCCTGTATAAATTGACATTAACATTTATACTAGTACATATCTTCTATTTTGCGGTCTAACCTGTGTACGCCTAATAAAGCTTTATATTTATTTTATTATATTTAGTTGACATTGAATAATTTTTAGCAATTTTTAAACCATATATAATGTAATGTACCTCGTTTGTTTTGTTATATTATTAAAATTATTTGAACGCAACCTCTCTTAATAGAACTAAATTAAATATAATATATTGCAATGTCCTAACAGGGTTCATGTACCTGCAGTCACTGTGATATTTCTTTAAGATCAATTTACAATAGTCGTACGGACAACGGCACATCAGACTACACATTTATGTTCGAAAATTGCCTCCAGTGCAACGGAACAGGATACGTCAATGCGGAGCTTGATGTGCTGGCGTCTACATGAATAGCAATAAATAAATAAATATGACCTAATGTTTATTCAGAAATTCAGATTTATAAGTAAATTTTTAATGTAATGGCAACATAGCTTTATCGACTGCGATAAATATGTCACTGGGAGGTTTATCACATATCGCATGCGATATACCGCCATGCTGTTTTACATTAAAACAAAGCGAATTAAATATATTGCTTTAAAGAATTGGTTTCATCAGGAATAATGTAACATACCGTTAGAATTCTTGCTGCTGCAAAAGCCTCCTGTGTCCGTGTCATCATCATCGTCATCGGTGTTCAGATCCGAATCGTCAGTATCGAAATCGCTGGAAAATATTAATAGGTTACTGTTTATTATTCTGATACCAAGTGACGGGACGAACAAGTCCTGCTCCTGGTGGAAAGCGACACGCCTGTCCATAACAGTTTCAGTTCTGCTCAGAACTTTAAATCGCAAAGACCTTATGGGCACTGCCACTGCGCCCGTCACCCTGAGACATAAGTTGACAAGTCTCATGAGTCTATAATTTCGCCAGCATCCTTACCTTTCTAAACCGGATCACGATAATGCTCTTTCACAAGTAACTTTACTGTTAAACTTTACTGTTGTTACTGTGTGTAAAAAACTAAAAATGCCTCTTCACTCTAGCCTTAAATACATTAAAAAATTGTAAACCCAAAGCTACATTTTTATAATTTGCTATTTTTCATAAAAAACGCATACAAATGTCAAGAAAAATTTATATGGGAGTTCACCATTGTTTTTTTTAAATAAGTTGTACCTCAGTTCACAACCGACTTGGGCAAAAATATTAATACCTTCAGTAATCTTAATTACAAATTTAACATCGTTACTTCAGACACCTACCTGGATAAATAAGAACAGTCGCTGTCAGCCATGGAGTAATTTCTTGAAGGATTGAATTGGTTCTTTGGTTTGTCAATCGGATCACACCAGTTGGCGCCGCCTGTACAAATAAGAAACAAAACACCAAATAAAAAAAACGAGTTTTTCTAGTTCTAATTAAGTTTATTGAATGCTGAAAACATATTTCACATTCAGTTAATTTTTGTGAAATTACTCCCACGACGAAACGAAATACTTTCATAGATTTTTCATAGATGGCGCTACGGCTTAAGTCTTTGAAAACCTAATACAAAGAACCGACAACGACGTACGCTGGTTCGTTCCGTGGCTTAAATGGCATAGCGTCTGACACGGTTTGCTAGGAGACGTCGGTTTGCATCCGGCCGGATAGAAAGAATTTTTTCTGAGTGTTCGATCTTTGTATTATTAATGCTTATAACAAACTAGTGGAGTAATTATATAATAATAATAATAACGCACACACTCAACATAGCCCTAGCACTAGCGAAACCCTGTGTCCCGGGTGTCATGGGCACACTCATATGGCAACCGTTCGGCCTATATGGCGTGGCGTTATACATGTTATGTATAAAATATAGACAAGTTACACATCTATAATGTAATGTATAATCACTACATGACTACGTTTGTTCGTCTGTCGGATCGCGATAAACTCAAAAACTACTTGGCCCGTGGCTTAGGGCTTCCAAGATTGCAAATCCGCCACTGTTCATCACAGTCCATCCGTTTGGGAGCTACAATGCCACGGACACACGAATACATGATGCATCAAGCTCAAGATGTACCCGTATTCTTGGTAATTGGAGGAGTAGTGATAGCTGCAGACCGTACTTTAAATAATTTAAAATTTTGACTTTATTTTCCATATATATGTATTTTAGAAAGTTGTAAATTTATTAAACAAACTTATAACAACTTTTATACTAATATTGACGACATCCCAACGACATATTTTGAGCCCACGCAATAGCTTGCTCCTGTCACGATCTCAGCTACACATACACAACTCAAGTCCCCACTCGATGTCGGTGAGAATATTCAACGAGCTCCCGCCCATTATTAAAAACGAGGAAAAGTATTCACTGTTTTTTAAATAAATTAAAATTACATCTATTAATAAATGCTATTACAATTTAAATGAAAACTTTGATAACAAATAAAAATAATAATATTACAATTAATTTGAATAATAAATAAATAATTGTAATTTAATTTCCGAAATATGCCGAAAACGTCTACGGCCTACCTCTGCTCTTATTGTTATCCCTAATAAAGGGCCCATATGTGTAGCGTTATTTTTATTTCAAGACATGTACCATATGAATGCAATAAAAATATTGAGTACATAGACAACATCTGTCTTTCTCTTTCTCCTCTGTTTTACGATGACTTACCCGAAGCAGAAGTGCAGAACGTAAGATTGGAAGGCAAAGGCTCCAAGTACGCATCGTATTCTGATGTTTGAGGGATAGATGCCGCCATATCATTGCTCCATGTGCCAATTTCGAATCCCTGTTGGACAGTGTCTAATAATAATAAAAGCCAGGTTTGTTAACAACTTGAGGCGGTTGGATTTTTGTAGAGTCAAAGTCAAACAATCTTTATTTCATGGAAGAGCACATTACACTTGAAATCGTAATACTGATTAAACTCTACTACCCATTCGAGCTAACGTTATTTCTGGATAATGTCATTTCGGATTCTATTGATAGGTAACCTATTATGTATAATTTAATTTTAATTGTTATTTATACTGTTGTAGTAATTTAACTTTAAATGCATGCTACACAAAGGTGAAATAAGACATGTATAATATTCGTTGGTGACATGTTCGATCTTATATAATGATACTGTAATATCTTCTTTGTAAACTACATTTTTTAGCGGATAAATATCTTGTATTCTTGAAAAAGCGTTGCGTGCGAAAGGGTGGTATTAGAGATGCACTATTTTTTGCTTTGAATCGAGTTGTTATATCGTAATGGATCATATGCCTCTAAATCGATCCACAGATCTGATCGTATCATCGAGTATATAACCAGAAATAGAGACAAAATGTCATTTAATTTGTTTAAAAACTATTCTGCCAAATCATTACGGTGACAATTGCGCACGTATTGACCAGCCCGAATCAAACGATGACTTCAAATCATCCAGTTTAACTTGAGCTTTGCTATAATGGACAAAAATTGAAAAATTACATACTTAATTAAAATTTAATTACCGATGAAATGATATTCCGTTTGTTTTGTAATTAGAAGTTTTGCTGTTTCTGTCACACCACCGAATGGAACAGCCTCCTATTGTTAGAGATGTTATCTTTATTACAATAAATACAAAATATTTTTGGAATATACGGAGACGTACCTACACACAGGTCAGTTGTTGGCGCTGTACCATTTCAGCTTTCTAATTTGTGATTTCAGCGCAAATGAGAATTCGTATTTAAAATTGATATAAGGACCATTTGCCTGAAGAGTTGCCAGGGATGGATGGCCCTTATTTCGTCTCTATTTCTGGTTATGTACTCGATGGTTTCTGTCCACACTTTATTGATTTGAATAATGAAGGGAACTTACCGCATCTACGCACTCCTTTTCGTGTAAAATGTCATTGATTGTTTTCTCCTTTTGTTCTTCGTCCGACTGCTTATCTGCTGTCTCATTTGCTTCTAATTCTTGCTTATCTCTGATATTGTGAAAAAAAATAGTAAATACATCGCACTGCTATTACAATAGTGTTGTAACTCAAAATATGTGAAATTTAATATTATATCATTAATGAACATAAAATTGGATTCTAGATTCTATTCTAAATTTACTTTTAATTTTTTTTTGTCGTTAGAATACTGTAAGAAATAATAAAAATATATCCTCTTAACTCAAAATGAGACACACTTTATGTGAGCTAGTTATAATCCTTATTCAAAAATACGAAATTACTTTTTCCATTTTATTTTAAAATACATTTGAGAAATTGTTTCAAGTGTCTATAATAAACTATAACATAGATAAATTTTAATGATTTTTTATTGCGGGAAGCATTGACTTACAAATAAATGGACGACGGGTCTAATACAAAAACCACGAAAAAAATGTCCCAAGTCAACCTATTCGAAATTTAAATTGTTATGTCATCGCAGTATCGCGCTGTCAGTAGAACAAATGAAGACTAAAGCGGAGTGTCGCGCTCTGTATACGATTTTAGCGCCTTACAAGTGCGGACACTTTTTAGCGCGGACCCGACGTCCATATAATTGTAAGTCAATGGCGGGAAGTGAAGTTAGTTTTTCGTCGATTCTGAGAAAGTCCACTTTTTGAGTTAATATACAAACTATTGTATTAACAGTGTGGCATAATTCGTCGAATTTTGGTAATCTTCCTAAAGCACTAAATGACGAGTTGAACCCCAAAAACATAAAGGATAAACTAAAACAATACCCCCTTAATCAAATATGATATCCAAGTACATTTCAAATTTAATTATAATATTTAACCGACTTCAAAAAAGGAGGTTCTCAATTCGACGATTTGTATGTATGTTACGCGATAACTCCGCCATTTGTGAACAGATTTTGATGATTCTGTTTTGTTGGAAAGAGGGTACCTCCATTGTGATCCCATTTAATTTTGAAGTAAAACATCCACCTCTAAGGGTGGCTGTTCACGCATGAAGATTCATTTTTATAAATAGCGCCTAAATTTTATTATAAGGTGCAATTATTTTTTTACTATCGCAGTGTTGCTGGAATTAATTTAACATATCTACCACTCTTTTGTTTTAAATAAATAAATAAAAAATATAGGTCACAATACTTTCTTAACTTATTTTGCTAAGCTCTTTATTTCAAGCTTATATCTAGCAAAAAAATTGTGATTGGTTAAATTTATCTGGGAATAAAGTACCAACCTCCATACTAATTTGGTACCAGTCCTTTGAAATTAAATTCAGAGGTGCGAGGCTGAATTCGAATCTACACCCTTTTGCCTGAGAGGTGGTAAGTGAAACCGTTAGGCTGCCACGGCTTTTTTTTGACTCTAAAACTGACTTTGACACACGCGACTCCGATAACATGTTACATCGACATGATTTTACTCAGACACTACGCTACATCGGTTGTCGATTTGACTATGCCAAAATTGTTTTCCCAAAAAAAGACGACTTTATGGTTCCTAAGATAGTTTCGTTGTATCTTCTATGTTTCGGATTTCCTCATACTGTCCCGTTTTAAAAAAAACTCTGTATTTTAATAAAATAAATTTCCGATTACATAATGTTGTCCTTTTTTTGTCATAGTGATCGATATATGAAACCATTTCATAGATGGGTTTGTAATGATGATTTTTCTTATCAGAGTACAAAAATTTTTTTTAATAAACACCTCGTCTGTGTTGTCGATGTAGCGTAGTGTCTGAGTAAAATCATGTCGATGTAACATGTTGTCGGAGTAGCGTAGGGTCGTATTCCACAACTCTACTCAATGCTCAAGTCAGGACTTGAGTATTGCAGTGAGCACTGAAAATCATACTCAAGTCCTTGCCATTAGGGTCGTATTTCCAGTGCTTGTGCTTCCAGTGCAATCCTGACTTCAGCATTGAGTAGAGTTCTAGAATACGACCTGTAGTGTCTGAGTAAAATAATGTCGGAGTAACGTAATGTCTGAGTAAAA